CTCTGCGCCTGTCCGTCATTAAACGCCTCGAAGACTATCTGAGAATCACACCTGATGGCAAAAAAAATCGAGGCGGCAAATGATAGGGACCAAGACCTATACGATGATGCCGAGGACGTCAACGTACCATTTGAGCCGTTCAAAGATATCTGCAAGAGGAGATTCCTATGGTATTATGAGTCTTATCTAGAGGCGGCCAAGGAGGGAAGCAGCCTGGTCAAACCAAAACAGCCATTTGTAACAATGCCATTTGAATCCAAAGGCAGCAACACCATGGATGGTTCATTTGATTACCCGGACCTGGAAAGGAGATTGAACAATATCAAAAAGGCTCTGGACGAAGAAACGGAGTCCTGGCACGCGAAGGTCTAGAAAACACTGCGGAAGAGACAACCGTTTCCGTGAATTTGAAGCATCAATTCGAGCAGGTCGTGGCGACCTTGAAGGGCGGCATATGCCGCACAACGTATCCCTCGAGAATGGAAACCCCTTCACTTGGGTTTGACATACTTTGGGCGACCGATGACCCATTTCGACTCTGGGTTATTGCGCATTCGAATCAACTTTAGTCCCCGGTTCCCTGAAGAGCAGCCTCGCGTGAAGTTTGAAACACGCATTTTCCACCACCTTGTTGCTCCAGATGGCACTATTTGCTATTCGCCCAAGCCCAACAAGAAGGAAGACATCATGTCTCATGTGGAGGCCATCATTTCCGCTTTGGAGGAGGACGAACCAGCCTACGACCCCAGAAAGATTGTTAATCTTGAAGCCAACAAGCTGTTTTGGAATGGGGAAAAGGATGGGAAGAAGCTATATCACCGACGTCTCCGTCGCTCGGTACAGGATAGCACTGAGTAAGTGGGACTCATTTGTGGCCTTGGATGTGACCTTTGAAGCTGACTGGTTACCAGAGAATTCCCTGTGTGATAAATGGCGCCTAGGACTTTATGAACAAGGGACTCATGATCATGAAACCTATGCTTTGGTGCCACGCCAGGTCATTGTACGAGACAGTATTCAGAGAATGGTCCCAGGTGCCGGTATGGCGTTTATCAGGGTTGGCTTGCACGTGGATCAGAACAAGACAGACCACGCAAGGGGATGGGGAGTATTGCAACAAAATGACAACTTTTCTATCACCATGCCTCGTATTCACGAACTAGGCATCTAGCTTTGGGCCTGATCTCACACTGGAGAGTATGAACCTCGAAGTAATTGAAATTGATCTGAAGAACAACATGTTGGGAATTCGATTCAATTTAATATCATGTGTCTAAATAAAACAAAACGCCATCCATGCACTTCTGCTATCATCATGCCCCAGGCTCGTTTCTCATGGCTTTCAGTCATTTCTTGCTCTTCGGTTTCTTTCCGACATGTTCGTTGAGGGGATCGTAGGGAGCGGTCGGCCCTGGATAGTCCTCCTGCCTGCCTTCTCCACCCTTGAATTCGTAGACACCATTGGCGTAGACGCCCGGGGTACCCTGCACCGGGCGCTTCACCTGCTCGTCGTGGATCTTCTCCAGCGCGTCGCCGACGACGGCGTACTGCGACCAGTTGATGGGCGGGCAGCGGGCGATGCTGATGCGGTCAGGCAGCTCTGGCCAGTCGGGCGACGCCGCGGAGCCGTCGTGGGCCGCGGCCCGGTCGCCCTGGGAGGCGGCCAGGTGCTGCACGAAGTCCTCCGGGCGCCTGAGGGCCTCGCCCTTGACGTCCCTCAGGGTCCTGATGTGGGAGTCGGCGTGGCGGCTCTGCATCTGGAGCATGGAGATTGTGGACTTGAGGGCGATGACGTCGGCGTTGTCCTCGAAGTCGAGGGGCTGGGGCGGCGGGCGGTGATGGCTGAGGCGCGCTCTGGGTGGGTGCTGTGGGAGAGGCTCAGGATGGAGGGCTGGCCCGGGGCGGCGGCGGTGGAGGGAGCCTGGGTGGGCGTGATGGGTGAGACGGGGGTCTGGTCGGGGAGGGAGAGGAGGAGGGGGCCTTTGGGTGCTGCTGCTGGGTGTCGGTTGAGATTGTGAGCGCAGGCATGGCTGCTCTGGCCGTTGGGGGAGTCTCTGCTCCAGCCTTTCTTTGCTGCTTGGGGGGGTTTTCCGTTCCGCGCAAGATGTGAGGTTTCGCGGGAGGCGAGGCTAGCTCCGGGCTCGCACAGCAGCAGCGAGAGTGGGAGGCTGTCCTACCGCTTGGGGTGTGACGGCGCCTCAGCGTGCGCGGGGTCGAGCGAATGTGTTTCCTGCTTCGGTGTCGAACCGGGAGCATAAGCAAGCTGCTGCTGATTTGTGAAACGGTAAAAGGTGAACAGTTGCGACACAGGCTGGAGCTCTATGCGACCGATTGATTAATCATTCAATCATCGATGGCTGTGTTTCTCGAATGCCTGCCAGTTGCTTTAGGCAGACCACGGCCAATCAGATGTTGCAATATGCCTGCCTAGAAGATGGTACTTACAGGTACATGGTGCCATGGGTGCTTGCCTTAGTGGCGCCTCTAACCTCAAGTGTGCTCAGACAGATAAGTATATGAACCTTTTCAGTACTGCCCAGTTGGTATCGTCAGTCGTACTGGTACATTTAAAGTAGCCATCGTGAGAGAGCCCAAGAAGCAGGTTTGTGAAGCAGCACTTGCGGAACCATCACGTGTTGATGGATGTAAGTCGGGACTTGAGAGTTGAGAAACATTAGGCAGACAAACATATTTAATAACACGGCTTATCTCCATGAGTTCTTATTCTACATACGTGTGATCGAATTTTTGAGTGCATATCCGTTACTAGACTGTCCGTTCCTGCACAAACAAGAGCCCTCCTCATATTAGACAGCTATGACAGATCACCATAATGTTATCAGTCACGACCAACCAACGAGTGAAATATAATCATTTAGGCACCTATTCGAAATTTCAGCGTCCAAGTTGTGCCTTTTTTACAGCCTACTATCCCAGCCTTCTGGAATCTTACGGCAGTCAAAGCCTTAAAGCAAGGAGATATCTAAGCAAGAATAAGACGATGAGGGATAGAAGAGAGAATGACGCAGCAGCCAAGATTTAATTATTATCTCCAATAAGAGGGCCTAATGAATATCGATTGAAATCGAATAGAATTTCGGCAGCTTTCATACACACGGTATATTGAGTTACCCTATGCCACTTACAAATGTAATCCTGAGACAGTGATATCAAGCTTCTTCAACAATCTTTGAGGCTCCCTGAAGCCTCATGAAGCTGTGACTGAACATTTTGGATCCCTGGTTCCATAATCCTATACTTCTTGATATATATCACTTCAGCTAGATCGAAACCTTGTTCTAATTCGTCTCCTCTTCCATTCTAAGAAAATCATAGACCGCGGATTTTAGAAATATTTGACCTCGATTCATACTTGGGCATCAGTATGTCTCAAAGGCTTAGTCGTAATACATCGCATAGCCTCATGCCGTGTTGGAAGCACTCAACGCAACTCTTCAACATCAAGAAGTGCTTCAAGTGTTGCCACGTCATGTTACATGATGGTGTTCTGGCCACCAAATGGCCGCCGGGTGATATCTCTGTCACCAATACCATTAGATGTCCACTTTTGCCATGCTTTTGTGCATCCAAATGGCACGAGTACCCATCTGCCGTCGTCATCTAAGAGTAAGCTTGAGAAGGGGGTCGAGGTGCAAGTAACCGATCTGCTGAAGGGTGATCTAAGACTGCCTCTATCTTTCTGAGGCGAGGCTCCCATATTGATCCAGGCGCTCGACTGCCCCGGCTTGCGTTATGCAGCTGCTTCCATCTATGGTGATAGAGCAAGCTGCAAAGTGGCCACTGACTGTGTCGAAACGGCAGCACGGGAGGCAGCTACGGCTCTTATTCCGAATCCGAATCGCTGGGGAAGCCCGCCAAAGGACAGTGTGATAATAGGAGGAATAAAATATGATGGATTACCGAGAGACGAGAAATTGAATCTAGACAAGTTCAACTATCCAATCTATCTTATATAGAGGCAATGGGATAGAATGCAAGGCGGCTAGGTAGCCCTAGGTGAGATGTTATGGCAACCAAGATTGTCTCCGCGAGTCTTCCTTTCATAAGTGCTCATCCTTCTCAAAATTACAAAATCTTCTCCATATGTTCATATATTGACCTGTCACATGATGAGCTGGAAGTTTCATCACATTCAAGGCATTCTTAGATTCTTTCGTCTATTTTCACACACCAATGTGAGACCACGGTACAGATAATGGAGAGGAACTAGAATATTCATCCATTATTTCGATGTTTAAGAAGATGAGTGAGCAGTCTATTTTATAGACGGGACCTAAGTATTGAAATTATGAATTCTAGCCTGCTTTACTAAATAAGTTTCCATACTTGGTGGCAAATCGCGAAAGAACTTGTCTTGAAGATGGCGAGGTATATGCTATCCACGTAGTCCTTTTATTTTGACTTGTTTTTTTTCTGTTACGTCAACTGATGTCTCATAGGAAGGCAAAAAAGACATTGGTGAGGTTGTTCAAGGCTGAAAGTTTGAAGCAGCTTGGCGCAGCCGATTAACCGATGCAGTGCTAAGGTTGGCAATGACAACTATTACAACTCATAGACCGCTCCCTAATATAGAATCAGGTGTAGGATGGAACTGAGTCACATTGATATCCTCAATTAAAATTTTAGAAACCAAAAAGGGGGTTCCAAGAAAAGCACACATGAGTTCAGGTTGGCAATAGCAACACCCTGCCTAGCTAATTACTCGATCTGGGCCTTCCCCTGTGTCGCAAAGCTTGACTTGAATTTGCAAGCACCTTCCTTAGCAGCAAGATGGCAATATGGGAAGGTCGCACCCAATGCAGCAGGACCTGCCGCTAAACTTGGATGTGGCCATAAGTTTGAATCAGAACTTCGACTGATGAAATTATTCCTTTCCATTTTCTTCCTTGATGAACAGGTGCTTATATTTTCTTATTCCCTCCCTATCATCCTCAAACTCTAGGCTGACCTTCACTTCGGACGATCTGGTAGAGCTCAATCCCTCACAATGCTTTGTCTTCTGCGCCAATCACCTATTGTGCGGTTGGTGTCTCAGCAACATTGATCTATTATAGCCTGATGTGTATCCTCCCAGTTCTGGGAAAGACATTTCGGGTTATCCTCGCACCTCTTTTAACATTCACTTTGTTCCTGCTCTGCCGGTGAGCCTCACAAAAGTCATATACTCATCTTCAATGAATGACTGAAATCTGCAGGATCTATTTTTAAATAAAGGCCCATTCCAACACCTACCCAAATCGAACGGCCAATGTTGTCCATATTTACGTGGCCCTTTTAGCGGTGGCAGTGCTACATAGAGCCAGACAAGGCGTAAGTTGCATTCTGCTTGACCCTCTTCTTTCTCATTAAGATCCTTCTAGCGACTAAATGTAGGAAAAGGTTTATTGATGGATGCGCAGTGATAAATTTCTTGGCCTTTCTGTCAACTTGTTCTGTCAACTTGCAGCCTCAAGCTGGCATGCTCCTATGAACCAAACCGAACCTCTACGGGATAAGGCCTAGGGCTAGTCAGCAGTCTCTCCCAGCTGTATAAGATGTTCTCCCGTCTTTCCTCTTCCCCCTTTATCTTACCCCTAGTGTTCATGTACGACAGTTCTGATGGGTAGGGCCCAAATTAATGCGAATTCGACTAAGCCATCAGAGCTGAGGTTGGTTGATAATCTCTAATACCAATCGTCCATTTAATTTATCTAGTTCTATCTTAATTTCTACGAGATATTACATCTAATTACTATGGAGTATGTTTAAAGACATAGAAACATTTCAATAGACCACTACTTCCTCATTCAACAACACCCCTCACCTCTTTTACCACCCCAAGATAAAGCCTTGGTCCTTATTGTCACCTAGCGATTTGTAATTATTAGAGCATATAAATCTCTTTCGCTAGCCTTGATTTTCTTCTT